TTGAATCACATTATTGTTAACCTATTATGAGGCTTAGCCCATCTCATCTCCCTAAATGTAGATAATATCGTTTATTCAACAAACAAACAAAAAAAACAAAACAAATCAACGTAAAATTAAATTTTGGGTTAGCTCGATTTAGGTGTTTTTATTGATTGATCATGTTATTATTTATGCATGTTTTAAATGAGTTGTATGAGCAAGTTGTTATTGTTCATGATCTGAACACATGTTTGTTTGTTTGTTTGTTTTTTTTTTTTTTTTGTTCACATGATCTGAACACGTTTGTTAAAGATCAATTAAAAGGTCAAGAAATGAGTTGTACGGTGCAACTATAAATGAGGCCACCACGTCACGTAGTACTTCGATTTGGTGATATTTCTTTTCACTTGTAAGTGAGAGGTATTAGGTTTCAATCTCGTAGATGATGAATTGATACTAAATTAGGTTGCCTATTGTGTTGTTTACCGAACTCTCCATTCCCTTAGTGTAAAATATATCGTTGTACTAAAAAATATAAAAATAAATAAGGCCACAACTTTTATTCTCCAGGATTTTGGTTTAGTCAAGTTCGTAAGAACATTGTTTTTACTTTACATTCAAGATCAAACCTTCGATCCCATAATTTCAATGAATTTAATATTACTATTATTTGTCAAAACAAAATAAGAATAACTTCCATTTTCTGCTATTGTGCATTAGAAAATATTGATTAGGGGTCGAAATTCATCAAGCAGGACACTTATCCAAAACCCAAGAAATTGAAGATTGTGAATGGTGTATTACTTTTACTTCTTTTTGTCTTAAATTAAAAGATAAAGTTTGGAGGGGCTGCTTCTCAGTTCAGAACAAATGGAACTGCACCCGTCTTAATCAAATGAATAATTTATGCTAACCATTCCTACTGGTGTCGTGTCACCATCCCCCTCGAGCATCATCATCAGTTCATCACTTTCACTGCTACGGCATCTTCAGTGACTCATAACCCTCAATAGTAATGTACCACATTCTCTATCAGTAAATAGTGATTTCTGCACGCTTATTTTCTTTTTTCATATTCTACGGGTGGTAAAGAAAACAATACCGAATTGTTTCGTACTGTTTGAACTAAACCAATATGAATATGTTGGTTACACTAAAAATAATGAAATTGTGACAATGTTCAATAAAAAAATCTAAATGTTTTTTAATTTGATTGATATTTTTGTAGAAAATTTATAATCATCATCACCTAGAAAATTAACAATTCGAATTAAATAATATTGCAAAATAAAAAAGAGAACTTAAAGTTAAAACGAGTGGGTTTGAGTCTGAAGATTACTAGCATCCCCGTATGCGTCCAAATACAAAGCCATCTAATTATGCATGAGAAGGAAGTGATGATGGGTACATGATTGGCTGTTAAAAAGTAGATTGCTATATACAGAAGCACATGTATTTCGGCATTCGCTTGATCAGAGCCCCGTAATTATAATGTACTTTTATGCAATTATGACAACGCACTAAACTTCCTAAAATGTGTAAACATCAGTAAATGCAGTATTTCCATCGTCCTCCAAAACCCAGGAAAACACATGCATCAGGCTTCTTTCTAAACGAAAAATGATCGTATAATATATGATAATTGGACACAACGATATAATTTTCGAGATTCTCACAAAGAGAATCATCTTCCCTCTCTCTCTCTCTCTCTCTCTATCTCTCACTATCAGTGCCACTAAGCGTGCCCTTCTTTTTGACTTACTGTTTTAACAAAATCCAATCATTGCCAAACCATATTCTAATTCAAGAAAGAAAAAGCAAGACAAGAAAGAGAGAGGAACGAGATCACATGAAACCATATACACCCTATTCACGCATAACAAAATGATTTAAGTTGCTCAAAAGCTGAAGAAAATCTGTCATGTCACAAAGAATATATCGTCGGTTGGACCTTGGATGACAATGTTATGGTCAATTATCCATGCATGTGTGAATTAATCATAAATGTTCGATAGCATTCAAGACATAATCAACTTACATGCGCATACCTGACTAATTCTAAACGCTACTTCGATATGCCTCTCTCAACCATACATGTATAGCTAGCTCTAGCTAGCATCTCACAGTCTGCAGTTTTGAACCTAACAAGTGAATTCGGATCCCTTCTGTATTTTCACATCTTATTTGTTCATTGTAAATTGTGTTATAATAAATTATTTTAAATTTTTTATTTAATATTAAACACAAACAGTACCTAACAAAAGTTGACCGCACAATATATAATAACAGATAAGATGCTAGGATCCTCGTAAAGAGGTTGCGGAGAGATCCTCATCCCTAACAATTAATTAATAAAGACAGAGGTCTGTCACTAATTCTCTTGTGTCAACCAAATTGGTCCACCACTTAGCCATGATGCCATGTGATGATCCAGTACATCTTTGACTGATCTTCCGGATCCCTTCATGCTTCCTAAATTTCCACTACAGGGTAAAAGGAGACACACAACGTTCTAACCTTATTATCATATTTAAATTTCACTTGAAAGCCCTTCGTTTTTCACCAATAAAAAGCAAAAGAGTTCTTTGTCCACCATGTATAGGATATTAATTAACAAGGATAAGCATGCGAGGGAATATCAAAAGTAGGTCGTAGGCTCATAGCTAGAGCATTATCAATGCTATTTTTCTCGATATCTTCATGATTATTAGTTCAAGTGGTCAAAAACATGAGATAATAAGTTAGAATTTAAACAGGATAAAGTCCCGCTTTCTCCATGACGATGAGTCTAACTACAACTGGAAATTGAACTCATTAATCCTCATTCATGTTATTTGAACTTAAAACATCACCTAACTAAATAGAAATGAATACAGCTAAACTTAAGGTCTAATTGGTAGATAGGTCAAAAACTACTAGGTTCAATCCTCGTTATTGGAACCAAAAAGGAAAAAGAAATGGAAGAAAGATTTAAAATATTAAGGACATACAAGTGTAATTACCATCGTAACCTTTGTTACTTTTGTTCTTGAGGAAGGATTTTAGTTTATTTACCGTATTTTGGAAGAAAATTTGCACCTGAATCTCTCTTTGATTCGTTTGAAGAAGATGACAATCGAACGCTTATGACTTTTGTGAGATAAGATTTCAATTTGGATTCTCTCTTTGGAGAAAGCAAATGTGATTTATGAATTGAGACGGCTGGCCAACACTCACTCACGTAGGCTCTCTTTTCTTTTTAACTTGTAAATTGTTTGTCACATCTAAAATTGGAACTTGACTACAATACTTGCATGTATTTAATCATCATCTCAACATTCATATATAGTCTCTTAGCTTATATATGTTTTCCATGAAATATATCTGAACTTTATAAAGTGATCGTATTAAATGCATTTACGTATTGTAGCTAATTAAGTGCCACAATTTGTAACGAAAACAAAAGATTTGTTGCCTTGAAGGCCAAGTTGACCTAACACGTATCCTTTTCATTTGACAAAAAAATATTCTGGCTTATTCTAATCTACACGGAGGGGACAGGCAGAGATTCCAACTCAGTGTAAAAGAACCAGCACATTAACCTAACACAAGTTAAAATATCTAAAACCAAAGCTTGAGCTGCCATATAAATAGCAAGATTTGACACTTAACCTAACGAATATGGAACCAACGAATATGGAACCCTATTCGACAATGGTAACATCCTTTACGAAGTAATTGTTCCTAAATTTTACCCTTTGATCCAAATCTAGACGCACACAAAAAAAAACGCGAATAGTTTTAAGTTTTAACCAGCAAAACACCACTGTTGTTGGAATCGGACCGAACACAAGGCATCAGAAAAGTTTTATTATACACATGTTTCCATCTAGAGTCTTGTTTGGCGGTACGACTAAAACTACTTCGACTGAATTTAACAAAAAGTGATGAGATATAAGAACATGGAAGAACTTCCAAGTGCTTTTCGAGAAAATACTTTGCCCAGGGTAGCTCACACACCTGGTGGGCCGAAATATGTATAGAGCTGCATAACTAGGGCAACTTGCACACCAAGGACCAGCATAGGGTTAGATGAGACCAAATTACAATGTGCCTCATGCATTTAGGAGAACGGTTTTGTGAAAGATGTGGTCGAAGTACCCCTACATAAGTTTTTCTCACCTTGTAGAAGGTGGATTAACCGAATTCCAAATTGGGCCGGTGGAAATGTACACGCCGTGGAATGGACCCCTACCAAGGGGTTGTGGCCTAAATTTAAGGACATTTTGTTTAATATAGAAGGTGGTGCACGTGGGAGGGGCTGGGACTCCTTTTCTCTCTGTCACTAGTCTCGCTACAACACATACTTAAAAAATTGCAGAGAGAGAGAGACATTATGTACCCTGCAACCACCAAAAATGATTGTTGGTGAGTCCGGATCCTCGCCCAATCCTTTTGTGAGGATTTCGAGAATTCATGAATCGTGTCTGTTTATTGTATATTGTGCGGTCAGAAATCATTTTAAATATTTTTATTTAAAAATAAACATAAACAGTCCTTAACAAAAACTGACCGCACGACATACGATGAAGGAACACGATTCACAGATCCCCATGATCCTCACCAACAGAATCCGGAGAGGATCCTGTTGGATTGTAGGTTACTCTTGAAAGGAATCTTAATCCTTCTCCTACACGTTTTTCAACCAGTTAATAATGATACATGCAAACTTAAAACTTCTATTTGCATCACAATACAACAGCCTTGCAAATCATGACATTTTGGCAAGGGGGTCCGGCCGAAGGGGGACCTCGTAGATCTTATAGCCCAAGCCACAACAAAAACTAAGCATATTTTCGAGCGTGATTTGGCCACGAAAATAATAGATTTCCTCAACAAACAACAAAGAAACTATATATTCACACCGACCTCAACGCTGACAGTGAGATCAGATTTTCCTGCAAATGATTTGATTACTTGTGTTGATCACGACACAACTCAGCGTAATCCATACCTTATTAGAAAGTAAACACAGTGAATTGGTTGTAATCCATGAGTTCTGACATTATTAAGGAAGATACACAGATCTAGGTTTGACTGAGATCTATACCGAAACAACAAGTTAATAAAAGTGAAAAAGAAAATGATTTATGTATTGGGACATACGAAAAAAGATGAGGCGAGAGCATCCTCAGCAGTGCACATGATGCAGCAAGATTGTGGCCACTGATGCAAGGTAGTGCCGCGGAATCTTCTTCAGTCAAGTTTTCGTCTGACTAATCCTTTGAAGAAGTCAAAACTACATGACAAATAGAAACAATATCATGATTGCTTTGGTTAAAAATAGCCAGGGACATGTCAAGACAAACTTCTGAAATTATAGCATGTGAATGTAAAACCACTCCATGAAATTGCAAGAATACAGGATAAATACGGTAGTTGATCAGAAAAAAGGGCAAAATGTATACCGGGAAATTCTTAGTGATCGTCTAGTACTTTACATCAAAACCACCGTTGTTTCTTTTAACTTTTCTTTTTACATTTTTAATATCCAGTGTTACTTGCATGTTTATACGTACTGTTCTTCATAATCAAGTTAATGAAATTGCGCAAATATAGGCGTGTAAAGTTCAACCAATGCTGCCCCAACTGAGAGGAATGCATATACTGAATAATTACAGATACAAAGGCAATGATTAAGAGGACATAAAGTAAGAAATATAATCAGAGCCACTTTAAATATGGTAAATGCATGCGAAAGTTATCACAATGACTGTTTGGACAGCAATGAACAGTAAAGGAAACACGAGCGGCACCCATATTACATCTTTGGAGGGTAAAACAAAAATTCAAAAGGACATGATGCCAAGTTGCTGTCATTTTGACCAAGCAACCTGACATGATTATTGTCACCTATTAAAGCAGAGGTACAATTTCAAATCAACAGATATACAAAAGGGGTGTGATATTTCAACAACCAAATCTTCATCATTTGATATCTCAAACAAATAGCTTTATATGATGTGGTACTAGGAACAAACCAGGACATGACTTTAACTGATAGTAATATAAAATCCATTAATATGTCAACAAAACAATGAACCTACCTTCAGGTATAATCCCACAAATTTCTACTACTCTCGAAAATTACCTACTTATAGATACTTTCTTTCATACGCTAACTTTCAAAAGTTGTGAAAACCAACATCAAATCCAAAAAGCTCTCCCCCCAGTAATGCATCTCAGAAGTTCAAGGTATCCACCCTGAATGACAGAAATGGTTTAAAGCAATCTTGACAAAACAGTGTTCACTTTGGTTGAAGTTGAAATTTTGATGGCTCTAAATTTTGGTACCACATTTGCCCAGAAAATGAAAAGTTGTGCTAGCAACTTTAAGTGAGAGGAAATTACTGTTCATTTTTACCCTTAGAGCTTGCTCGCCATATGTTTATCCAGTAGTTACAAATGAAGCTTTCAAAAGCATAAGTTAGACTATTAAAAAAAAACAGGGGGAAACTTGATATAGGTCCAATTTTTTGAGCCAATGGTAGGAATAGTCCAATTTATTAAAATAAGTCCAATTCCTTAAATCTTATTATTTTATTATCAATAATTATATCTTTAATGATAAGATTTATTATAAAAATCAAATTTCTTCCTAATTATCTCTTTGATTTTTTTTTTTTTTTGTTCTTTCTTGTTCTTTATCCCGTTTTAAACCCCATTTATAGATTTTTTATTTTATTTTTATAATCAACCTATATCACAGGTTAATTATGTTTATCTACCTATATGATAGATTCTTTTTTATAATCAAGTAAGATTCATGTGTTTTGCTTATAGATATATTATGTTTTTTCTACCTTTTAGTTAGGTTTCATATCTTACTTATAGGTATGATATACATTCATATATTTGTTACTTGAGTTAGGGTATAATGATTTGCAGATAGATTTATGTCAATATATATATATGTATATTTGTTATAAGATATTAATTATATTTTTTGAGGTTGAAAATGCATAATATTAGATGATTTTAATTGATTTTTAATATTTTTAGAAAATATAAAATGAGCATTAAAATAAATAAATACATATGATTAGGTAATTGGACTCACTCCTAAAAACCATCTATGTTTTTGGACCTGGATCTAAAAGCCCCAAAAAACAAAAAAAGAGTTTGCACACACTGCTTATGTAAGTTTTATAGTTAAATTAAACAACACTATATCACACCAAAAAGAAGAAAAAAATCTTTTCTGCAAACATACCTATTTCCATCAGGATGAAGTTCACACATCTGATTGTCATCACCAATAGCTAACAAATATCCTGATGAGGTCAAACCCTGCAAATTGAAGATTTTTGAGAACCCTAGTACTAAATACAGAATATTAACAACAATCAACAATCATACCTCAAACCGTATAACACCCTTATGGTCGATCCTATTTGCAAGGATATAACCTGTTTCCTAATTTGTCTGTTTAATGGATGCTATTAATAATCATGTAAATGTCTATTTTATTCTTATCCTCTTCCCCTGTTCAAGCCATTCTATTCTATCATTGCAATCATTCACAGTTGTACAAAGATGGAGTTACACTCGTATCCAGGGGTGTCCAGCAATGGCGGCCACATCATGGCTTTGACAAAGAGGCAGTCAATGCTTCACATGGTGAGTGCAAATATCTTGGCTCATAGTGGTCATGGGGTATTTGGATGGCTCTTTTATGGTGAATAAGTTTGGAGATTTTAACGTGGACAGTCAAGGTAGGGAACCATAAAAGGTGTAATTGTAGTTTCCCCCTAGTTTTTGATAGGGTCTAAGCATAAGACAGTAAATTACAGAGTAATCCGTTTAAATAGGGCCAGCCACAGGAGGTGTAATTGTTCTTTCCTCCTAGTTTATGATTTTTAGGCTAGATCTTTTGTCAGCTCATTCAAATCAAGGATTCACAAACATTTTTAACCAATAGGTTTAAATTTTGTAATAAAGGGAAATGAACAAATTTTGTTGAAACAAAACCAAAAATTTATCCATAAAGTTGACGATTGAATCTGTCTGAACCAGAAAAGGCTGAAATAGAAGTTTTTAGTTAGGTTTATCATAGGAAAGGGTATACACAATATCCAAAAATGTGAGCCAGTGAGTCATCTAAAAACTGTCTAGTTTGCCACACCTGAATAGTGACCACATTTTCCACCACTTGATCCTCACTCTTTTCTTGCACAATAACTCTCTGTCCGCTGCAGATACCAAAACAAAATTAAGTTCAAATTGGATCTACACGATTGATCACATTTCTCTTGACTGATTAATTTATGCAAGGATACTGGTTCAACTTTCTTAATTAAGATATTGTATCTACAAAGAAAAAGGAAAAGAAGCAAAGGCCTCCAGATTACAAAAATTCTTGCTCCTTCTACTAGCCCAAGTTTTTATGACGGTAAGATAATAAAGATGTCGAGAAGCTGAACAATGCAAGACAACATGAATTAATTTGATTGTTTAGATAGTGGTAGCACAACGTATAGACAGAGCATAAAACCACCTGGTTCATTTAAAAACCATAGCTTACAAATTCCAAGTACAATGCAAAGGACATGGGTACTGCGGAAGAAGGTGTGTTATTGTTATTGTCAATCTCATAAGTAGATCTGCTCTTGAAAACTAGCATACAAGGAGTGAGTCCCCTGCATCCCAACAGTACCCAGGGGAAACTCCCCCTCAGCGAAAGGGCATAAGACACCAGGCTCTCCCCTTATACGTAAGATGAATATACAACCCAACCCATTCCTGAGATATCTTGCTCGATAGTTGATACCATGTTAAAGCCATGGGTAGCACTTATCCTTCAAAACCAGCTTGCAAAAGAAAGGTTTCCCATATGTTTATATACCACACATCCCAGTGGTAACCAGATGGTGAAAAATACTATTAGGGGGATGAATGACAAGAACAAATTCAGTACTTTCTTTATAAGAAGAAAATTAGGAGGCCATCATTAAAGGACGGAAAACGGCTTCTGTAGATTGAGTAACATTGTTATTTTGTACCAAGTGAGACAAAATTCACAGAAAACTTGGTGTAACGTTTCACAAGGCTTCTTTGCTTTTAAACGTAGACAAGTCTAAGTCTGGAAAATTACAAACTTGAGTTCAACCATTACAATCCATAGAAGAATCTAGATCTACAAGTCAGTGTGTTACCTGTGTAACCAAGTCCTATAGTATACCTCCTCAAGAGATTGAAATCCTGCATGACATGAACCAAAAGAGCTGCATTAATTTTCATAGCCTACATACTTGGGGGATATTTTCTATCATGCTTAAAGATGAAACAGAAACTGTGTAAACAAGATTGATTAGATAATTTTTTAGAACAAATAATTATGTCTGCCCTGTATTTTCATATTTCTACACGGCAAACAAACTAAGTTATTAAGCAACAGGGAAAAACAACCGTCTCATAATTGAGACAGTATAACCAAGGAATTCAAACTTTGGTATCAAGCGAAAAATTCAATGTCAATATACAGAATATTCTAGCTGACTTGAAACATAAAAGAAAAAGTTTAGATAGAGAGGGACCAACACACAGTTGGGGTGAAACTGTAAGATTAAGCATTAAAATCAAAATGAAGGAATAGTCTAATTGATATATCAGATGACATTTTTGATAATTGACGTGATGAATTTTTACCTTGATTTATAAAAACTTCATATAACATCTCAAATTTGTTAAAGAAGGCGGCAAGAACATCTTCTCTTCTAAATTTGTACGTTGTAACCGACAATTCTCTAAGAAATGCATTCAAACAGGTAGTTGGTTTCTCATTATCAACGTTCAAACCTATACCTGCAAGAACAGAACAAAAGTATCTCTGTCATCATCAGCGTAGAATTTATTCTTTGATATCCATATTATGCAAGCGTGCTTATTGTGGATGGTGGCATTCATATAATACTTGAAAGGAATAGGGTCCATCGAAAAGTAAGAAGCAGCCAATAGGTGTTTCAAAGCATGCTTATTTGCAATCAGACCTGCTAATCAGCACCCAGAGGATGAGACTAATTACCAGCAGAGACATTGAACTGCTTCGACTTATATGTTGAGGTGCATAAAATACCTCCCACTTTTAGGCCATTTAAATAAAGATCATTTGGCCATTTTATTTTAAGATCAACATATGGCAAGCCCTGAAATTCAGAAGATGCACCCAACACAAAGTGTATCAAATTCTGGACTGTAGCATCAGCATATTAACTTCAAATTTGTTATATAACAATCATTTGCAATGTTCACAGTCCAAGTAGCCAAATATACTATAATGAGAGCCTCAACAATTATCTTCGTGCAGTTTATTACAGATGGGATAGTATATACAAGTGATGTAATCTTTCTGTAGTTAAAAGTACTACCGACAACTGGTATCTATACCTCGACGTCAAGATGATCATATCAGGCAACCTCTTAATGTATCAAACTAGAAACATACGACAGAATACTTATTACTTAACGAATTCCAATTTCAACAAATCTTACTTAATCGCTACACAGTTACTAGCAATGCATGTCATATACATAAACTCACATATAAATTTGACAAAGTTAACTTTTTAATCCTATTTATATCAAACTCGTTATGAAAAATGCACTCACATTTTTATCACAAACATCTTTTATCGCCTCTGTGACAGCAAGAGAAACCACGTACTGTATAAGAGGCACGACTCGGCCATTCTCCATTTGCAATGTAAAGGAGAACAGAAGGCAACCCTCGGGAGATTCCCACACATTCTTCGATCGCCCTGCGGAACCGCAGAACAAACTGAATTCCAGCAAATTCAATAGAATAATCAGTCAATCAAAGTCAACCACCAATTAGTTTTCAAACCTCTCCCTTTGTACTGAACATCAGCTACACAAACAGTACCGACCGGCAGCTCACAGAAATTCCTGAGAACAAACTAAAACCTCGAATTAACTATCCGGAAAATAATCATTCACTTGAATTCAGAGTTCAGAGAACTAAAAATTCAGTCTTCTGCAAAACTTACTTAGAAACGACGTCGTGTGTGGAAGGCAGGCGAGGAGACCAGAGGAGGAGCCTGCCGAACCGACTGGTAGATAGCGAGCTCATGAACGAATCGACTCCAAAAGCGTCTTCCTTGACCGGCTTTTCTGATTCCGATTGTAAGAAAATCGAAAACTCGGTGCTCTCAGGGAGGTTCAGAGCGTTGCTGTTCTTCAGCGCCTTGGCAGCTTCATTCTCCGCCGGCGATTTCCCGCACAAAACCAGCGTACAATTCGGGTCGCAGTCCATGGCTGAAAATTCAAAATTGAAATCAGTTTACTGGATTTTCTCGGTAACCAAACAGTAGTAGAGAGCAGAACAAACCTAATGCGGCAGGCGGCGGGTAGAGGGAGACTGAAATTTGACTTCTTCGAGAGAACGGCGTTCCTCAGTGAGCTTTGTACGGTGGAAAACCCTAGCGAGGTGGTGGATGCGAAGGACATTCCATTCGGAAGAAACCAGAACTCAAGCGAAACGTTTCGGCTTTTAGGACGGAGGATTCGACAAAAAGTCGAGAGGAATAACAGACGGCGTCGTTGGGAGATGCCACGTCGTCTCAGCGAACCCGCCACCTTAACCGACAAAAAAATTGAAAAAAGAGTACTTGCATTTTTACCACTTAAATTTTCAGGGGTTTTCAAATTGGTGCTTTAGCTTTTTTCTCCTTCCAGATTGATCCTAAAAAAAATCCTCACACGCATTCTCTATTTTCCACATACCAATTATATTTCTGTCATTTAATCCTTTTCAATTCATAGATTCGATAGTTAGAAATTGAGAAGTGTGTGTAGAAGAAGGTAAAAGGAATATGTTGATAATACTATCCTAAAACATACTAAAAGCATCTAAGTCAAATTCAAAACATCAAATTTCAATTTGATGGTTGACTTGACAATTTGACGTATCGTCAATATTTTCCTTGCACCTGATATACCAAATTTATTGCTTCATTTATGTTTTTTAAACAAAAATAATAAAAGTTGAGTTGTTGTTTGGTTTAAATATAATAAAATAATACTTAAATATGCTAGCATTTAAGGTAAGGCAAGTGGAATGCTTTGGAAATAACAAAAATCAAATTTGAAGGCAGCTTCAAATTTGACATCTTTTTGTCTATGTCAGCCTAGCCTTCCTTTCCATGTCATCTTTGACATCTCAGTTGGAGTAAGTGGTTCGTCATTTGTTACTGTTATATGTCTATGTAGCATTTTTGACATCTCTTTGGAGATAGTCTAAAAGCCTACCAATTTAACAAACTTTTTATTGAAGGGAGTGCTAGCTAGGCTTGGTCTCTCACTTGGTACGAGATCCTCGTAATGTAATACGAAACGCGCTCCTTCAAGATTTGTTGTGCAATCAATGTTTAAAATATTTACGAAATTATCGATATTTTTGTTGAAATATTTGAAAAATTGGGGATTGATAAGGAAAGGGAGGGTGAAATGCAAACTTTTACTTTTTATCTGTGATATATAAGAAAGTCAATGAATGTTGATGATATTTATTATTTACCGATGCACTAATAAATTTTGCAGAAACCCATTGTAGATTTTGAACTTTTGAACATTTTTTTTAAATTAATTTTCTCCTTTCAATTTCCGTCGGTGGTTAATCTAACAAAATCTATCATTTGATAAAAAAAAAAATTAAGTGAGTTGATGTACTCACCCCATTGCAAATTTTCATAATATCCATCAAAGGCAATTTGATCTATCGACATTCCAATCTGATACATTTACTTATTACGGGAAAATGTCAGGCCTCTTCCCCACCTTCAGCCTTTCCCACTCATACAACACAATACCGCAAAACCAAAAACTAAATAGCAACTAAAATTCCAAACCCAATTAAAAAAAAACATAGCATGAATCGAGAGGAGGCAGAGGCGCACACTTACGATCAAGAAATCGAAGGGATTGTGACAGTTGAGCTTCTTCTCATCCAGCGCCATACGCATCACTTTACTCCTTAGATACCGACTGTTTAGTTCCATTTAGCACTTATTTAAGTAGACGGGTTGACTGTTAACTGCTTCAATCACTGTCTAAATCATATCACCATCCTATTCAATTCGATTATGCTTATGCCACCGAAAAGCTTAAAGCTTTACAACCCCATTTCAATGTCCTCCACTGCTCGTCGTGGTTGCTTTACAATTTACAATCACAAAATTACAAACTCATTTCCAAATTCCGAAAAGCAATTCATCCTGAATTCCCCAATTCATCATAGATATTGAAAGCTTGCTACTTTAACCCCCATCCCAAAAATCGAAATCCGTAAATCCAAAATTTAATCTGAGAACTGATTTTTGTTTAAGCAACAATGGCCGATTGGGGCCAATCTTGATAGGAGTGGTGTTGTTCATCCTGCTGTAACCAGGGCTGCTTTTCTCGTAATCGAGAAACATCAAGTAGGTGGAGTTTAAGAGCATGAAAACCAATGGCAAGGCCATTTTAAATCAGTTCCACCCCTAAGGACTTTGTGCCAGCACCCAACCCATTTATCCACTTCAGTGAACAGTAATATACTCCAATGAACAGTCATAGACCAAAGCAACTCCACCCCTAAAAAAATGTGCTGGCATCTAGTCTAAAAATGCGATAGTACAAACGATCTTCACCCCTACAAAATGCGCTGGCATCCAGCCCATTTAAAAATATTATTATTTTTTTTATAAAATAATAAATAAATAACTAAAATTGTTTTAATTTCGGATAGTATTTTTAACCAATCTCGTTATGCTACGTGTCATTATCTGTGACAGCCCGTCCCGGACTTTTCGTACCGTAGAGGTGAATTGACGGTTTTACCCCTAGTATGTTTGTTTCGTTGTGTGGTTGTTTTGGGTTTTGTTTGGCTGCTTTTGGACTACACACACACTCCCACACACCCTCACCCCTTCCATGTCCCGTATCACTATCCCTTTCCTTTTCTCTCCCCCTTTCCTATCCCCATATGTACGGAGACACCCAAAAGCCTTGAAACTTTCACAGATCGAGGAAACAAGTTACATATTCGTGCTCGTGAGGTCTTTAAGAGTTCAACCATACCCATTTTAGGTAAGGATACCTTCGTTTTCATGTCGAACTCGGGATCCTCCGATTTGGTCATTGTTCATGTACACGTTAATTCTTGTGTTTTTGGGAATTTCAAGCTTGTAAGAAGCTTGGTGAGGTCCTTAGGAGGCTCGGGGTGGTTCGTTTGAAGGTTTTGGACGTCAGGATTGTGAGTTACAAGTTTGGCCGGAGTTGGTGGTGTTTTCCCGACGAGATTCCATGGGTTTTAGTGCTTGAAAGTGGTATGGATTTGTTCCTCTTGTTGTAAGCTTCATTTTGGTACCAATTTTGTGAAATTTGGTTGAAAAATGAAGAAGTTACAAAGTTTTGAAAATTTCCCGGTTTTCAGGCGCCGGCGACGGCGCCGAAGTTTGGCCGGAGAAGATGACGGAATATTCCTGACGGCGTTAACGGAATCAGTCAGAGTTAACGAAATATTCCTGACGGCGTTAATTGACGCCGTTAGTGTGCCAGGCCCGTGCCTGCGCGTGGGCGACGCGTGTGGCTGTGCCTTGGCCGGCGCATGGGGGCGCGTGCGGCGTCGGAAAATTTTTCTAAAAATATAGGGATGTTCATGAGGTTGAGTAGATCACGTTGGTGTATTCATACACCTCATTTGAGCTTTGTATGAGAAGTTATTTCGTATGGTTGGTTTTGTGCTTTAAAATTAACGTTTTTATAGTTGTTTCGCATATAGGTGAAACCTATCCCGAGGACGAGCGCGGTCACTCGAGGCAAAGGGGTTACAACCCTTCTACATATCAGTGAGTGGGCTTTTGGTTTTCCATATATACCTATATACTTATGTTTTTCCCAGAAGGTGAAATGAAATGTTTATACGTTTATATGCCATGCATATTGTTTGTCATTTATTTATGCATTATTAGTTGCATATGTATATGTGTGTTGGTGCTGCGGACGCACAGGTAAGTGTCAAGTAAGTTATGGTTTATGTTTATGTTCAGTAGTGATTTGAGATGCATAGAAAGCTCATAACCTACACCCCCGGTGTTAGTGCTCCCGCCCAGAGTTGGGCACAGTCCTTCACGTGATGTTCACCTCCCGCATCACACGCTCATCTTGGATCCAAGTTAGGTGCACAGTCCTGTCGTACATACCACTTTAGGTGGTTCCGACTCGTAGGTGACCCGCAATTATTCGCCCAACCTTCAAGTGATCGTAGCACTTGAGCGTACTTATTATACACCCAGTCCTGTCGTACAGACCACTTTAGGTGGTTCTGACTCGTGTGCAGGTATAGTTAGTGAGATGGAGATTTGAGCTCTAGATTCAGCCGTACAGGTCACGTTAGGTGACTCCAGCTGACAGATTACATGGCATTATTTTGGCGTTACCTGAGTACTTGCATTTTATTTCAAGACATTCGGCATGGCATATTTCTGAGCATGACTTATATATATGTATATATTCCATTTTCTGGGAAGTATACAGGTTTTATGGCGAGGGGTTAGAACTTTGTTTATTAAATGGTTTTTGAAAAGCTTTGTTTTTGCCCACTCACGTTTTCTGTTTTGCGCCCCTCCAGGTTCTAGTTTAGCTAACGCTTTTGGTGGCTCCCCAGAGGATTTTCCCAGCTTATCTGACATATTATCACCAGTGTAGGACCACCTTTGGGTGTGTTTATTTAGTGTTGTTTCTCTCGGACTGCACTAGGTCTTCCATGCTCTGAACTTTGTTTTCGCACTTACGCTTGCACATGTATGTTCTTACTTTGTGTATAGCTGGTTTTTATTTATTCGTACTTTTATTATTATTTATTAGCTTCCGCACTGTGCACATGGTTACGTCACTTTCACATGACGGCCAGCATGCCCTGATCTCGGTTGGGGTGTGTCATTATCCGAACGTACTATTTTAAGTTTATGTAATTTTATTTAATGTGTTTTTTTTTTAAGTTTATTTGGTGAGGTTATGTAAATTTAAATGGTGTTTTTTATTTTTAAGTTTATTTGGTGAGTTTATGTAATCTTATTTGGTGAGTTTATGTCACATCCCGGCCCGGGGCGCACCACTTCCCGGGCCCGCTCCACCACCTTAGCACGATATTGTCCGCTTTGGGCCCCGACCACGCCCTCACGGTTTTGTTTTTGGGAACTCACACGAGAACTTCCCGATGGGTGACCCATCCTGGGAGTGCTCTCGTGCGCTACTCGCTTAACTTCGGAGTTCCTATGGAACCCGAAGCCAGTGAGCTCCCAAAAGGCCTAGTGCTAGGTAGGGATGGGAAATACATATAAGGATCACCCCTGGGCGATGTGGGATGTCACAATCCACCCCCCTTAGGGGCCCGACATCCTCGTCGACACACACGCGACCAGGGTTAGGCTCTGATACCAAATTGTCACATCCCGGCCCGGGGCGCACCACTTCCCGGGCCCGCTCCACCACCTTAGCACGATATTGTCTGCTTTGGGCCCCGACCACGCCCTCACGGTTTTGTTTTTGGGA